AAAAAAAAAAAAAAACAATGGACGAACCCATCGAAAAAATTACTAGAGGGTTCTCAACCATTTGCCAAAGTGTGAACCCATCACGAGAAAAGTGTTTGTTGATTACATTTCGTTCAATGCACGTGGTGGTCATTAGTTGAACATCGAATCTTTACCAACAGCATCAACCGAACGCCGAGTACTGCAAACAACATGCATCACAGACGCTACATGTGGTGGACAGAAAACACGCGTCATGAAAAGACGGACAGCAGCTCGACGCATGACTGCGACCTCACACAAATAAATGAAAAAATACAAATATCTTATAATTTGAAGCAACACCGCGATCCAAAGCACATGCGAAACAGAGGGGTGTCGACCTGCTCCSCGCCGCCACCCGACAAGCTCCGAAAAACCCCTCCAACCCCTCTCCCCCCCTTCCCTTTTTCCCATCCCCATGCCCACAGATTTGCGCGGGAACACCGCCGCGGCAGGGACGACATCAATGAACAACGAAAAAAATAACAGCGACGTCACTGCCGATCACCTACGACAATTGAGCCGCTTCACTGCCGATCACCCACGACGAGGAGAAGCACACTACCGTCGACTACAACAACAAACACCTACAAACGAGCTGTCTGCCGCTGCAAACCCTGCGAGATAACTCTGCGCGTATTCACGAATGACGCAAGCGCTGCGACTCGACGACAGACGCACACGGCTTCTGTCTATGCACGCGAGGCGGAGTGGCACGACACGCACGATCAGATGTGTTTCATCTGCTCCGCAAGGGCATTGCGGAGCGCGTGTGCGGCGTCCGTCGATGTCAGCATCGTCACTGGCTGCGGTGGACGATGAATCCCCAGGTCCACTCGCCGCCTCACCCCGTTCTCGTCGACCTCCCACAACAAGTTCTCGTCGAACTCAATCCCAGCATCGAGCAGGATGTTGTGGAGAATGCAGACGGCCGTGAACTGCTGCGGTAGAGTGTCCAAGTTCGTCTTGTGCGACCGCAGGAAGAGCCTCCACATCCCCTTCAACCTCCCGAACGCCCTCTCCACAGCACCTCTAGCGACCTTYTGTTTGTTGTCGAACCTTTCCTCGTCCGGGTGCTGATTGATTCYTCCGTACGRCACCACTATCCATTCCGAAGGAGGATACCCGTTGTCGCCCAAGATGTATCCGTTCGTCCTCACCCCTCCCGGCAGCGTCACAGGCGGCCCGCGAAAAAGCGTTCTCTCTTCCGCGCGCCTCGACAGACTTGACAGCTGAATCACCCGAATGTCGTGGCAGCTGCCTGGGTAGCCAACGAAGACGTCAAGCACACGCAGATCCTGGTCCACCACCACCTGCGCAACGACGGAGAAACGGTGATTGCGGTCGAAGTAGTTCTCGCTCGGAGCGTTCGCCGGTTTGTCCACGTAGATGTGTTTGCAGTCAACTGCACCATGGCAGTTGGGAAAGCCCTTGTCTTGAAACGCCCGTAGCACCACGTGTTTACGCACCCCTATCGGCCACGATATCCTGTCCCCGTAGACCCATAGCAACGCAGCTGTCACATCGCGCACGGCTCGAACTCCGGATGCTTTGCCAATGCCGAACGATGATGTGCTGTTGTCGTACGACTCTCCTGTTTCCCACCTATACAGCGTATACGCGACGATCTGATCCGGCTGAAGCGGCTCCCTGTAGAACGTGACCTGTCATTGCAAATGAGGCGCACAGGCTTCGGTGATCTCCATGAACACTCTCCTCGACACGCGGAACTTTTCCCGGAAGTAGTCATCCGTCGCGTCGTCGCACACCCGCAAATCCTCCCAAGTCCCGCCAGTTCTCCGCCTCATCCACCAACGTGGCGTCGCCCTGGGAAGCACACCGGAGCCGATTGCAGCGCACAGCTGAACCACGGCCTCCGAAGTCGTGATGCAGTCTGGGGCGTCCAACACCCTCTGCAGCAAAAGCCTGTGTCGCCGCCTCGAAAGCGCTGCCTTCATGCGGCCCGCCGCCCTCTCCGCTTCGTATCGATGGACTACAGCAACGGCTGCCGCCGCGACAGCTGTCCTCTCCGTCGACGACAGCACAGCACGCCCACCCCCATCACATCCCTCCATTCGCGCACGTCCACGAGGAAGAGCAACGTCCACCTCCACTCACCTGCGCGAATCAACGTCCACGGCGACGAATGAAGACGCCTACCACGAGGTGTGGAAGACAGGCGTGATGACAAAACGTACATCGCGATGGGAGCGTTCGTCCTCCGTCCCTAAACCACGGAAGCGCCGCCCGAATGCACGTGGCGAGCGCAGGAGAGGAAACAGACGATTCATTTTGCCCGCGACGAACACACTGCACACGGTGGCGGCGCGGTGCTGCTGAAGTACGAAACGCGACGTCAAGCCTGCGCGCCCGTCCCCCAGTCGACGTGCCCTTCCGCCTGTGCGCCGCCACACCGTCGTTCCGCGCGGAGAAATTTTGAATTTCGAAATTCGAACGGGGCCGTTCCCGCCTTCGCAATTTTTTTTTTTCCACGGCCCGTGACGTTTTGCCGCCGTCCGGCTGGTGGACCAGCGCGCCTCGCACACGGACATCCCGAATCAAAGGTCAGACAACACCCTCGCGGCCGTCTATAATCTCATGAAACTGGCCGCGGGACGGCCCCGAGGACGCATCCTCGGGGTTACTCTCCGAGGACAGGTGGAACGACGCCTACAAAAATAAAAAAAAACTTCGAGGATTCGTCCTCGGAGATCGAGGACGCTCTGAGGAGTGTCAAACGACGCCCTTTACGTAACCTAGTAGAAGTAGAGCCTACAGCCGCCACAGGTGCTTTTCTTAGGATTTTGCAAAGTAAGTCATTGTTACTCCATAATTGTGTTCATGGTCAAGGGAGCAAAAAAGAGCTTACCAAGGTCGAAATCGGGGGTCGAAATCCTTGCAATCGAATGGGAATTCTGCACCAGGGCGCCGGAAATCATTCTGCACAGTGCACACCAATCCAAGGTAACCAGCTGGTTAGTCACACCCTTCTGCTGCCCGTGCAGACATCTGTACAGAGTAAGTCAGTCGGCCATCATAGAAGGAATGAGGGGTACTCTTTGGAATTTCCACCACATTTCAAAAATAAGCAAAGCAAATAAGTACATTTCAAAGTGGCTTTGTGTACCATTATGCTTTTGTTATGTTAATCCAGTTAACCATATTTATTCCATCATAGGTCTTTGGGACTTTATTTCATTGCTGGGTTAGAACAACTTTGAGGTAGTATATGCCATGCGCTGCACATTTTGTGTATTTTTACTTGACTGACTGGACATGCAAGTGTCTGACACAAGCATGCAGGCGCACAAGGCACACTGTCACTTTGAAGATTCACGACCCAAATACGTCGAATTCTTAAATTACGAGTGTGCGGCTGTGCCAATTTTGACCTCTTGGTGGAGGAGGAGGTGAAGTCACTGTTAAAGTGACAGTCAACAAGAAAATGAGAGTAATCATAACGCACGAGGTCCAAACCTAGACATAGAGAAAGGGATCAGAAGGAAAGACGAAGACAATCTGAAAGGATGTCGCACTACAGTCATTGTCCCGAAGTCCCAGTTGATCCCACTCCCAAAGGAGCAATGGCTCGGCAAGCCCAGCAGCGAAAACATTGATTTGAAGTACGGTCGGACCGGCGTAGGTCTCGTAGGGTCCGGAAGGTCAAGAGTCACAGGTCGGTAGAGGTCAGTAGACCCGTTGTCAGGCGGCCAAAGCCAGTCGGTCACCCGAAATATTATAATTCTGAGTCAATGTTGGTCTTCAGACACATTTTTCTTGTTTCCTTTTATCTCACAGACAACAGAAAAATAGGGTGCCTAAGTCAACCCCTATTTGACCACCATCCACTTCTTGAACCCTACTTTTATGCAAACGAAGATATCAATTTGTTATATTCCTGACATCTCTCTTATCGATTTATTTTACCCCAAGATTCTACTTCCTCTAATACTTGATCGTGGACGTGCACGCGGGCCTCGGCGTGGGGAAATTTGTGAGGCCGAGTCAACGGCAAGAATTTATTGATTTTGACGATAATATTAATAATTAAAAATAAAATAATGAATGATAAAAATGAATCAAGTTTCCAAGATTTTTTCTTGCTTTCTTATTTTTGTGTTGGATTATATTTCCTTGTGTCGACGCCCCGATTCACACTATTTTGCTCTCCCTTTTACGACCCTTATTTTTGTGTGCACGCGACCCTGTTATTTTTGTACTTATGGGTTTATCGGCGAACGCACGGGGCTGGATGTTTTTGCGGGTCCGTACTTTGGGCTGCACACGGGCTACGGGGTTGACACTTTCACTCTGGTACAAACGACATGGTTTGTGTGAAGGAGATTACACGACAATTGGTCTAGCGACATAGATTTTTGTTATTGTGTTGTTCCTGAGACCGAGATCGGGTTGCTGCAGTTGGTTCTAATTTGGTTGAGACTCACAATGGTTTGTTAAGGCAACGATGCGGCCACGGCAGGTTATCGGGAAAAACTGATTTCAACTCCAAGGTTGTTGAAGGATTGTTTTCATCACCAGCAGGGTTTTACTCGGGCGTTCGTGTGGTCCTGACTGCCTCCGCTGGTTTAGTACGAGTACCCCTGGACCATTGACCCTAAACCCCTGGTACCATCACTGTCCCAGGGCTGTAGCCATAACAACGATTTCGTCAAAACGGACATTTTATATTTTTGAAACGAAATCAAAATTGACATTTTTATGGTGATTTTGGATCAAACAACATTTGAGATTCGAGGTTTGGGGTACGGGTATACTCGTTAGGGGTAAGGGTTTAGGGGTAAGGGATAAGGGGTAAATGGCAAGGGGTAAGGGGTAAAGGGTATGAAGAAATGTTTGCCACCTTGTATACACTGATTCTGTTTCCAAACAATTTCATGTCACCCACATCCGTCTGCATGTAATCCTAATATCATATAACAGGTACATACTACTCACGAGCCACTGTATCCAAAACCAATTGACGACGTATTGCGGGTATGTCATCAGCGGTGAAAGAGAAAGGTGGAAGGTGACCCCTTGCCAAGAGCGATGTGTATGTGAGCATGAAGACCCCACATTCATTCGTGTCACGTTGTTTCGGAATGCCCTCTATGTTTCATATGTGATTGAAGGGTTTCGTCTCCACCTCTTTATCTTGCTCAATCGATCTTTCGAATAGAAACTTCGCAAACCCACCGGTCACTTTTCTTGCCAATTCCATATTATCGGGGTTGAGGGAGTTGTAAAATTCGAGTTTCCTCCTTCTGAAGTCAGCCACAACAAAGGGTCAATGGTTCATGTGCGCGATATGGAAAGGGTCAATGATCAAGTCCATGTCAATGATTATGACGTCTTTCGACCAATGTTGCACCTCTCGCTCTCGATACCTCATTTCGCTGTCGAAAAGTTTGGCAAAGAAAAATAAGCTCACCACCGATATTCTAGGAATGTGCCCCTTTCCTGTTCTAATCGCGTTTTCATTCTCTGCGTCGCATTCTACGTGTGTGATTCTACACCAATTGTCTAGTGCGATGAGGTTTGGGTAGAAATTGACGACGTTGTCATTTAACCACTTTCATTCGATGACCAGTAAAATAAAATCGTATCGAGTGAGCTTCAGTACTTCGTTTGTCCCGTGATGGTGTGTGCTCGCTATTGAAAATCTCGTATTCTCGGATGACATGCGTCTGTGCTTTCATCCTATGTTCCCCCCTGGCCGTGGCCGCGGCCGCTGGCCGTGGCCGGGACCCCCCCGGCCGCGGCCACTCTGACCGAGAATTTTCGGCCGCGACCATCAGGGTTGTCGAGCCCCGGCCCCGGGGCCCCGGCGGGGGTCCTGGGGGC